CAGTCCGGACCGGGCCAGATGTAAAAAACGTGCTGTACCCTGCAGCTGGGGAGAACGGTCCTACCTGGAGCCTCTGGCAGAAAGCTCCAGGGGAGACTCGAGGTCGACCCCTCGGCTTTTGGAGTCGGGGATACAAAGGATCTGAGGCCAGCTATACCCCAACTGAGAAAGAGATACTGGCAGCCTATGAAGGGGGTCGAGCTGCTTCGGAAGTGATTGGCACTGAAGCACAGCTCCTTCTGGCACCCCGGCTGCCCGTGCTGGGCTGGATGTTCAAAGGCAGGGTCTCCTCTACACATCATGCAACTGATGCTACATGGAGTAAATGGGCTGCACTAATTACACAACGAACTCGAATAGGAAATCCCAGTCGTCCAGGCATTCTAGAAGTCATCATGGACTGGCCAGAGGGCAAAGATTTCGGAATGTCACCAGAGGAGGAGGTGGTGCGTGCTGAAGAGGCCCCACCATATAATAAACTGTCAGAAAGTGAAAAGCAGTATGCCTTGTTTACTGATGGCTCTTGCCGTATTGTGGGAAAGCATCGGAGATGGAAGGCAGCTGTATGGAGTCCTGGACGACAAGTTGCAGAAACTGCTGAAGGAGAGGGTGAATCGAGTCAATTTGCCGAGGTGAAAGCCATCCAGCTGGCCCTGGACATTGCTGAACGAGAAAAGTGGCCAGTACTTTATCTCTATACTGACTCATGGATGGTGGCAAATGCCCTGTGGGGGTGGTTGAAGCAATGGAAGCAGAGCAACTGGCAACGCAGAGGTAAACCCATCTGGGCTGCTGCACTGTGGAAAGATATTGCTGCCAGGGTGCAGAACCTGGTGGTGAAGGTACGTCATGTAGATGCCCATGTACCCAAGAGTCGGGCCACTGAGGAACACCAGAACAACCAACAAGTGGATAAAGCGGCTAAGATTGAAGTGGCTCAGATGGACTTAGATTGGCAACATAAAGGTGAATTATTTCTGGCCCGGTGGGCCCATGACACTTCAGGCCATCAGGGCAGAGATGCAACATATAGATGGGCCCGTGACCGAGGGGTGGACTTAACAATGGACACTATTGCCCAGGTTATTCATGAGTGTGAAACATGTGCTGCAATTAAACAAGCCAAGCGGTTAAAGCCTCTTTGGTATGGAGGACGATGGTTGAAGTATAAATATGGGGAGGCCTGGCAGATTGACTATATCACACTGCCACCAACCCACCAAGGCAAGCGCCATGTGCTTACCATGGTGGAAGCAACCACCGGGTGGCTGGAAACATACGCTGTGCCCCATGCCACTGCCCGGAACACCATCCTGGGCCTTGAGAAACAGATTTTGCGGCGACACGGCACCCCAGAGAGAATTGAGTCAGACAATGGGACTCATTTCCGGAATAACCTTATAGATATTTGGGCCAAAGAGCATGGCATTGAGTGGGTATATCACATCCCCTACCATGCACCAGCCTCTGGGAAAATCGAACGGTACAATGGGCTGTTAAAAACTACACTGAGAGCGATGGGTGGGGGAACTTTCAAGCATTGGGATACACATTTACCAAAGGCCACCTGGTTGGTCAACACCAGAGGATCTGCCAACAGGGCTGGCCTAGCCCAGTCAGAACTTTTACATATTGTAGAGGGGGACAAAGTTCCCGTGGTGCATATGAAGAATTTGCTGGGGAAGACAGTCTGGGTTATTCCTGCTTCAGGTAAAGGCAAACCCACTCGTGGGATTGCTTTTGCTCAGGGACCTGGATATACTTGGTGGGTAATGCGGGAAGATGGGGAAGTCCGATGTATACCTCAAGGGGATTTGATTTTAGGGGAAAACAGCCAGTCAACTCAATTGTATGCTGTTGCCTGCTGTGTAATGCTTTTATAGCCCATCAACTAGATGTCTCCAGGTCACCAGCGACTGGCCCTGACTTCCCTCCAGCCATCATCGCAACAGAGAATGAACTTGGAACATCATGGACCGAATGAACTCGGCAGCATTATAGGGATTGGTCCATGCACTAAGAAAATGATTTTTTCCTCTTGGTCTGTATGTATATGGATGTATATATGTGGGAGAGCGATGGTGTATTGAAAATGTGGGATCTGAGCACGACGTGAATGGTATGGAATAAGGGGTGGATAATGTCCTGGGTTCAGCAGTAGCAGTCATGTTTTTTCCTTTGTGTTAACTGTTGCAGTGCTGTGTTTTGACTTCTAGTTTGAGAACAGTGTTGGTGAAGCCGATGTTTTCGGTTGTTGCTAAGTGATGTTTACCCTGACCAAGGACTCTGTGGGGCTCATGCTCTGCCAGGGAGGAGGGGAGGCTGTGAGGAAGCGGAGACGTGGCGCCTGACCCGGGCTAGCAGGGGAGATATTCCATACCACAGCACGTCATGCCCGGGGTGGGGGGTAACTGGGAGTTACCCGGAAGAACAGGGGCTTCCGGGTGGAACTCTCTTTCTTGGCCGGTGGTATCGTATTCTCTTCTCTTGTTATTTTCCCTTATCATTGTTTTAGCTGATAGTAGCAGTGGTGATTTGTTGCTGGACTGTTCTTGTCTCAACCCGTAGGAGTTGCACTCTCTCGATCCTCCTCCCCGTTCCTCCGGGAGCGGGGAAGGGGAGAGCCCCGGTGCAGGGGAGGGGGGGGGGAGACGGACACAGACCTTGATTGTTGTCAGCTCGGCACCACTCACTGGGAGTGAGTGAACAAGTTACCTGACTGGGTTTAAACCACAAGAAAAGCGTTCCTTATTGTTTTAACATAATTAAAGCGCTCCTTATTGTTGTAACCTATACATCCCATCCCACATGCTAGTTGGGTGCCTGGCTCTAAAGCTTCAGATGTGTCCTGGGTTCAGCAGTAGCAGTCATTTTTCTCCTTCTTACTAGCTGGTGCAGTGCTGTGCTTGACTTTCAGACTGGGAACAACGCTGATAACACACCGATGTTTTTAGATGTTGCTAAGTAATGTTTACTCTGACCAAGGACTTTCTCAGTCTCATGTTCTGCCAGGGAGGAGGGGAAGCCGGGAGGAAGCAGAGACAGGACATCTGACCCAAACAAGCCAAAGAAGTATTCCATACCACAGAACGTCATGCCCAGTATATATACTGGGGGCAGTTACCCGGAAGGGTTAGATCACAGCTCGGGTCGGGCGGGGCATCGGTCGGTAGGTGGTGAGTGGTTGTATTCTCTTCCCTTGTTATTTCCCTTATCATTAATATTACTGGTGGTAGCAGTAGTAGTGGTTTGTGTTATGCTGTAGTTACTGGACGGCTCTTATCTCAACCCATGGGAGATACATTCTTTCAATTCTCTTCCCCATCCCTCTGGGAGAGGGGGGAGGAAGGAGGGGGGGATTGAGCAAGTGGCTGCATGGTTCTGAGATAGCGGCTGGGCTTAAACCACGACAGTTCTTTGTGGCGCCCAACATGGGGAACGAAGGGTTGAGATAACAACAGATGTGAGCAGAGTGTCTCTAATCGTATTTGTGATAAGCATTCATTGTTTTGGATTAATAGTCACTCGTCACAATGCTGATTTATTGGTTCTCAGAGTTCTTGCACTTGATCTCACAGTTTCAGCATGTCGCACCTTAGTTAGAGCCAGTATTTGCTGGTTTAGTGCTTATCAGCTGGGGGGCCTGGCCTAAGGTTCTTGTTTCGCTGTACTTCATGGTAATGACTTGTAATACAATAGACTCACTGATCATGAAACTAGGCTGGCTTGCGCTCCCAGTGTGGTCAACACGTCTATACTTTTGAAGGCATATAATGGAATATTTCAGCAATTACACCTTTTTTTTCCCTTCTCTGGTTGTCAGCCTGTGAAGGAGACATTCCCTTACGCCCCCCGCTCCCCCACCAGACTATTCACAGCATCATTTGAGAGTTCTGAAGGCTTTGAATGGTCTTTGGGTACCCTTGAGACCCACCTGCTGATTGTGATGGGGATCACCATGTTGGCACATATACAGAGTGTGTTTTAACCACGGACATACCATCCTGAAAACGGCCCATTTCGTCTGACCTTGAAAGTTAAGCAGGTTTGGGTTTGGGTCTGGTCTAGGGTTAGATGACGATATAGGAGGACCAAAAGATTTTCCCTGAGGCTGGACAGTGAGACAAGGGGGCACAAAATCACAAAATGGAATATAGAAACCTCTCAAATTAGTTTTAAGTAATGTTAAGTTTGATGGCTTTGTAACAGTAGCAATGGAAAATTACTGAGGTGCGTGATACACAGAAGAAAAAGCAGAGCACAGCTAGAGATCATACTGAGAATTGTCATAAGATAAATGTTATAGTTGATACAGTTTAAGAAAAACATGCTAGAACAGGACACAGGGTAAGGAGTATCTGGGAACTGCAGGTGTCCAGGATGGGCTACAGTGAAACTAACTGATAAGTGGGAGGATAGGAGGATTATTATGTCTCTGGTGCTAACGAACCAATTAAACTGGTATGAGCATCTACTGCGCATGCTTCAAAGGCTGCCAGAAGTGATGAAGATTGTTGGAGGAAGTAAACGACCCTCAGAGACCACCACCACGATTCTGTACGCATGCGAGGAACTCTCTGGAAAATGATGTAATCCACACGTAGCCTCATGAATACGTATGTATGCCCAGTGGCTATAAAAGGACGGCCTGTGTGGCAATTGGGGGACACACGTTAGGAGGAGCTATCCCCCGTGTCTCCCGGTGCCGCAATAAAGAATACCTGCTTGTCCTCTTGAAAACTTTGTTGGCGAGTTTGTTCCTGGAGTTTTCCACAAATCAATTTGGCGACCCTGATGGGACCCTCTCTGCTCTGCTGCAGGACCCGCTGAGGACAGGGCTCCCTAGGGCACTTAGGAATTTTTCCCAGTGGGACCCCTCAACTCATTCGGATCACCGCCGGAACAGACAAGGACCATCTAATAAAAAGGTATTCTTTTCTTTTGTATAGTCTGTAAGGTACAGGGGGCATCTTGCATAAAGACTAAATTGGTAACTGGGTTGGTTTGGTAAGCGTACGCAAGGTTTGGAAGCCTTCCATAAATCGAGATAGGAAATCTCATAGGTAAAGGCGTATACCCGGGTGGTAGCGTCCGTTTGGTATACACCCACAAAAAACAAGCTAAAAACCAGACCCAAACCACATAATTGGCTCCATCCTCTTCCCAAGAGGAAGGTCAGAAATCCATGAGGCTGATGAAGGAAAAGCTCCCCAGCAGTCAGATCTAGAGCTGCAACCCAAGACTTTCTCCACTGATCTGAAGAAGAAAAGAGTCTTTAGAAAGGCCTTTAGGACCTTCTTATGAGCAAGAGAAAGCAGCATCCAGCTTCCATAGAAAACTGGCAAAGCTGAGGGAGCTTCACAGGTCAAGCAGGGCAGGTCCATCCTCACAGTGGGGTGGAAGACATTTGGACACCTAGAAAGCAAACTAAACCCTCCAGTGCAGCCCTTTTCTATGGGATGAGAATGAGCCTTAATGGTTTGGGAGAGCTCCTCCCTCCTGAGGACAGTGTTCTCTAGAATAAGACTGTTCTTGATGAAAATGCAATCTCCTAAGCAAAGCTAAGGTGAGCTCCTCTGGGACACCTGCAGGATGTGCAGATGGAGGGGATCCAGTCTTCCCTCCTGCAGCACAGCACATGGCTGCCTCCCCAGTAATCCTCACAGCCAGGCAGATGGCCTTCTTTAAATTAATCTTTTTTACTTGAGTAGGCATATTGTGAGATCTCTGCAATCCCATCTCCTCATTTCAGTTCTGTCGGCATCACCAGGGTAGTCCAATCCTTTCTAGCATGGAAAATACCAAGGCAGCAGCCTTGCCCGACCCCTAAAGAACAACAAAACCAGCATCCTGAAGCACTGCAGCATTGCTCAGCTGTGAGCTGTGCCAAAAAGCACAGCTACTCGGCTCCTTCACCCCTCCAAGAGCTGGATTCACCCTTCTGCCCCAGCTAACCTAGACTGAACCCCCAAAGCCAGGCACAGCTCAGACTGGCCAGGCTGCGAGTGTGATGGCCACACAAATCCCTGCAGGTCTCCAGGTGCTTCTTTCACCTCCAAAGCTCTTCTCTGATTCCTACCACAGCGCCAAAGGTGCGGGGGCATCAGTAAAGCTAATCCACAGCGAGCTCACAGATGTATGAGCAACAGGAGGTGTGCCAGAGAATAGCTCCAGGCCTGCACTGGGGATGACGGATGCCAGGACAGCAGCATGGATGGGATCTGCTGTGCCATCACTGTGGGCTCGCTTCAGTCCTTCCCCCCTCATTCCAGGTGCCCACAGGTATCCTGAGGTGCTCATGTCCCAGCCAGACCAGCCACCAGGATCCTGCCAAACCCACAGGCACTGGGGTGATGCAAACAGCACGTGATGGGCAGGTGACATTTCTAGCACAGATCTCCAGGAGGACACTCATGCTGAAGCCCTTCTCCATCCTCTCACCCATGCCAGATGCAAGGTGCAAAGCCAGAGCATGGCCAGAGCAAGGGGCAGCTATCTCCATCCTGGGGACATAGGGGTCTTGACCCAAATACATAAGAAACCCCCTACCCAGCCGCTCACCTGTATGTCCTCCCTCGCACCCTCGGGTGCTGCCCTCCGTAGTAGCCTCCCTGCTGGGCCAGGCCTCCCCGGGCTTGGAAGCAGCCCTGGTAGCCCCCACGGTCAGTGGTGCTGATGCCCGGCACATTGGTCCTCTTGGGCAGCACCTAGAAGGCAAAGGGTGGCTCAGCCAGCACCAAGTTTTGGCACAGCTCCATTCAAACAGAGCTGGGAGAGATAGATGCAGCACCCCAGGGCTTCATCCAGCTCTTACCTTAATGACACGGCCTCTGAACACACTCTTATCCAGCTCCAACGCAGTCTTCACAGAGCTCTTCTCTTCAAATTCAATGTAGGCATACCTACAAGGGGATGGGTTGAATAGAGCCCCAGGGCACCCCACTGCTCCCAAAGGCTGGGGAGCACAGGGCAGCATCCTCAAGACCCCAATCCCAGAGCACACCACTGACCCTTTGGGATGCCCTGAGAACTTGTCACAGAGGATGGTCACTCGGTTGATCTCCCCGCAGCTGTGGAAGTGAGACTCCAGCTCTTCTGCCGTGCCCCCATAATCTACCTGCAACGACAGTCCCAAGCCCTCCAGTGCTACCAGCCAGCCCCCCAGCTTGTGGGTCTGCAATCACACAACGTCACGAGAGACAAAGGGCCCAGCTGACCCCTCTCACACCATTCCACCATAGCTTCACCACCTCTTGAGGTGCAGCAGACCCAGATGAATTTTCCAGCCTAGAAGCCCAAATCCAAGAGACAGCTCCCCTGGCTTTGAGGGAACAAGAAACGCCACAAAACCAGCAGCTTCCAGCAGCGTAGTTTGGGGAGCTGACACTTGCAACAGATTATCTGCAAGTAGTTGAAAATCATAGGCAGATGCTGAGCCACATTCCCAGTCTGGGCTGGGCAGAGGAGAAGCATTTGGGATGGGACCAGCCAGCCTTCAGTGGGGGGTGGAAAGGCCCCCGGTGAGAAGGTTCTCAGACATACATCCAGCTGGACCAGGAGTAGGGAGATGGGCTCTGCTCCAGGGTCTCCCACTTACATTGCCCACATAGATGGATCGCTGGTCAACCTCCATCTTCTTGGTTGTCTTTGGGAAGAGACCTGCAGAGACAAGGGCTGCTTTGCCATGCTGGAGTTATGGGAGCCCTTTGGCAGAGGGGTGTCTGTGGAAGTCTTCTACCAGCACAACCACCACTGAGCTGATACACTATAAAGCTCCTTGAGTCCCTGTCACGTCCAGGCATACCCAAATACCCACACGGCTGTCTCTGCCTCCTCCTCCTCCTCCATCCCCTTGCCCCCTTTCTCTTCAGAAAGCCCCCAAACCACAGGGTAACTGCTCTACTGGGGCAGTTGATACTAAACTCAATTAAGTAACTGAATTAAATGGAATTAATTTACTGCATCTTGGTCGGCACAGGTAGGAGCTAAGAGTGGATAGCACCATGTCACACCCAGGACCCCATCCCTCATCCACCTTACATGTCCAGCCTCAGGCTGCCTGGAGAGGCAGAGCCACATGCTCTGGCTCCAGTTACCACCCTGTGCTCTACTGTTGGCCCTGAGGGGACAGCAGCACCCAGGGACAGCCCATACCTCCCTCCAGGTTCACAATAAAGCGTTTCTCAGCTTCCAGCTGCAGCTCCTTTATCCGCTCATCCTCTTTCTCCATCTCTTGCACTCTGGTGTTGATGGCCTCCAGCTCCTGAAACCCCAACCAAGACTTGCATGAGCAGTACACTGAGCAGGGACACCCTGATCCCACCGCCCAATCTGGGCTGGGACGTTGCAGTGCTGCACAACATGCACCTCCACCCACAGTTCCCTCCCAGGCAGGGGACAAGGGTAGCCTGAGGACAACAGCCTGTCCCACAAAAGGGGAGTTCAGCTCCCAGCTCCACTAGGGAGAAAAAAAACAGATAATACTTCCTTTCCCATACTTTTGGAGCAGTATGGGCAGAGATGCCAGAGGGAACCAGAGATTTAAGCTGGTGATGAACAGGAGCCAGGTACTCTTGCTCAGCCAGAAAAACACCTCAGTAGTGAAAGCTAAGCAGCAGGAGAGTGACAATTCAGGTTCCAACTTCTCAGCTCAGGGATTTTAACATCAGGGCCCAAGATTTTTAATTTTTAGAAGCACTTGAACAGAGGTGTAGAAAGCTTCCCATTTCCTTAGAGAAACAAGGAAAACTGATTCCACACTCACTGGGTTCTGCACAACCAGCTCCTCCACACTGTCCCCCTCCAGGTGGCTCAAGTCCAAGTCATCATCTACAGTCTTCCACAGAGCTGCCATTTCTGCCACATCCCAGGATGCCTCCACTGCTGCCAGGGACGGCAGGTCCTACAACCAGATCCCTGAAGTGTCCAGGAAGAGAGGACTGGGCAGGAAGAAAGGCAAAAAGCCATTTAAGAGAAAAAAAAAAACCCAGCCATTTAATGTAGAACTAAAGCAGAACGCCAGGCAGACAAGGGCTTTAAAGGTGCTTCCAGCAGAAGGACAAACAGGTCCCACCAAAGCAGCTTGCTCTCAGTGCTGCAGGCAGGCTTGCAGCAAGACCCCAGAATTGCAGGAGTCCTCACTCCTGAAGTTGGTGACCTACTGAAAGGTCTTGTGTTCATACTGAGGCATTTCCCAACTTAGGAGGGCTGCAGAGTGGAACAGGAAGCATCTTCCTGTGGGTGAAAAAGGAAAAACAGGCACAAGCCGGATTTAAAATGGAAGGAGAGACAGGACCTGACCCACCATAGCGCTCCCAGGCCATACAGAGTGAGCCCTACCTCACCTAAACAAAGGTAAACCCATACCCTTCCAGCTTGGGGCTCCTGGTTTGATCTCACAGTGGTGAGATCACTACCTGTGAGCAGCGAGCTGACCCTCTGCTCCAGCCTCCAGAGCCTCAGTCCTTACCACAGAGCTAAGACCCGTTCCGGACGTGTGTCATGCCGTGCACACCCCTCCCCCCCGGACCACGAACATCCCGCACTACCTCCACGGAACAGCGTCACATACAAACTTCCTGCGCAGTGCTGCTTTCACGCATCAGGAGCCAATCAGGGCAGGGCACGCCGGCAGGGGGCCCTGCCCAGCCGTGACCCTGGAGCCTCGGGTTCGAGTCCTGGGTGTGGCAGCAGACATGTACGAGCGGTGAGGTGGTGGCTGTTCCCCCCCCCCCCCCAGGCCTCCTTGTCCACCCACCCCGCTGGCGGTGCTGGGGACCACAGCGAGCTCCTGTGCACAGTGTGAGCAGCAGGGCACCCCAGTAGAGTGCAGCATCTGCAGCAGGAAGGGAACATCCCTTTGGGTTCCCTGGGGACAAACCTCAATGCCCCCCGCCATGGACACCCCTCCTTATGGCTAGACATGGGGAAGTGTTTACCCCATGGCTACAATGAACCCCTCCAGGGTTAGGGGCCCAGAGTGCTGCTGGGTGAGTGGGGGTGAGGGCACCCACCACAAGTCCAGGCTCTGGTTGATATTAAATTGTCTTTATTACACAGATACAGAGTTAACAGCCATAACCTGCATCATAAAGTTTACATTTTTCACAGGTCAAACATAGAGTACACTTAGAGAAAGCAGGAAACAGCAAGGGGGGGACAACATGCCAAAAGGAAGTCCTACCACATAATCTCTCTGGGCTGGCCCCCAAAGCCCCCAAAACCCATACAATAGGGCAGGGTGCCTGGCAGGGGGCTCTGGTTTCCAGCCCCCTGGGATCCTCTGTGCCCCAGTGTCCCTGTCCCCAGGGTTGGCAGGGTAACACGAGGATCCCAAGCAGGGCATGGGACCAGGGAAGCTGGGAGTGAGGGGGGATGGCAGCACGATACCTCCCTCCCGGGGGCTATGGCATTCAGTGACATCAGAGGAACCCCCGGGGTTGCCACCACAGCACCAGTGCAGTGTCTGGTACCTAGAAACAAGGTGGCATCTTGTCCCCAACCTCAAACACACCAGGATCAAGAGGAGTACTCTGAGGAGAAGAGGGGACTCCAGTGGGCCCTTGTAAGGGGGCCCATGAACACGGAAGTGAGATGCATAAAAAGGGGCTGTTTGAACTGCTCAGCACGGCAGTTGGCGGAGCACAGACTCCCCTGTCGTCCAGCGCTGGTTTTGCTCATATCCTACTTGCTATAATTAATAAAATTTTAATTGGATTATGATCTGTTATGGTCTCAATTTTTAACAATTTTCTGGTGCCGTGACTTGGATAAGGAACGGTGGGCTTTGGTCCTCCGGGGAGGCGCCCCGCGACATTTCGCGGCCCCGCGACCAACAGCTCACCCCAACCTTACCGACGAACCTAAATTCTAGAATAATGAGCAAAGGAGAAACCGGTAAAATCCCATAAAATTCTGTGCACGGGAGTCCGGACGAAGACGCAGGACGCGTAAGTATATTGCGAAGTTGTTCGCGGGTTTGCCGTTCGGGCGGGATTGGGTTTCCTGGAATATAACGAGTGAGAGGTTCGATATACTGAACCAAGCGAGTGTGGACTCTTAAGTACTGCGTCTCCCATCTCCCGCGAGGGACTGGGCCAGGAACAAGAGGAGCGAGTGAGTGTATGTTTGTGGATATTCCAGAAGATGGGGGCGAAGGGCAGCAAGCCTTCGACTCCCATGGGAAGGGTACCCATTGTACCTATGAATACCCCTCTGGCATATATCTTAGACAATTGGAGATATTTCCCTGGAACCCTAGGAAAAGATAAACAAAAAATGATAGAATATTGTACTAAGATATGGGGAGGGAAGAAGATTTCTAAAAATGTCTTTTGGCCAGTCTATGGGTCAGAAGAAGATTGGGTAAGACAGCAATTAAACCTCTGGGTTAATAATAAAAAACCCCTTAACCCGGAGGAGAGTCAATATGCGGAAGTGTGGCTAGAAAGACCGGGAGCTAGACTTTACCCGCTGAATGAAATAAAAAAAAAACAAAAGAAAAAGAAGGAAGAATTAGACGAAACCCTTCCTCCTGCTCCCACAGCCCCTCCAGAGGCCCCCAGAGCATCCACTCCCCCACCAGAGTCGGAACAAGAGTCACCCCCTCCTCCTAGACGCGTAACTAGAAGTCAAAAAGGGGCAGCTCAGATGTACCCCCTAAGGGAAATACCCATGGGGGGACCTCAACCTGTGATCGGATATATTTCCGTACCCTTAAATTCGGCTTACCTACGAGATTTTAAAAGAACAGAGATGGGAAACTTAATTGAGGACCCACTCGGAGTGGCAGAAAGATTAGATCAATTTTTGGGACCAAACCTTTATACTTGGGATGAGATGCAATCTATCCTTGGTCAATTATTTACTACTGAGGAAAGAGATATGATTAGACGAGCAGGAATGAGACTGTGGGATGCTCAACATGTCCAGGGACCCCAAGCAGATATTAAATGGCCACTCCAAAGACCTAATTGGGATAATCAAGATCCGGTACATAGAACTCATATGCAGGATCTGAGAACTATAGTAATTCAGGGAATTAGAGAAGCAGTACCCCGTGGCCAGAATATCAATAAAGCATTTAATGAAATGCAAAAGAAAGATGAAAGCCCTACTGAGTGGCTAGAACGACTGAGGAAAGCCCTTCAGCTGTACTCTGGGGTAAATCCAGACGACCCTTTAGGGCAAGCGCTCCTCAAAACTCAGTTTGTGGCAAAATCATGGGAAGATATCAGAAAGAAGATTGAAAAGTTAGAAGACTGGCAGAATAGAGGGCTGGATGAATTACTGAGAGAAGCTCAGAAAGTTTACGTAAGGCGGGAAGAAGAGAGCAGCAAGCGACAAGTAAAAATGATGGTAGCAGCGGTCAGAGAGGATCGCAAAGGGCGAACTGGTGAACACAGATCTGCTGGAACAAAACAAGGGAACGTAGTAGTAGAGAAGGAACAGAGATATTGTTTTTACTGTGGAAAGAAGGGACATACAAAGAAGAATTGCAGACAAAGGATCAGGGATGAGGAAATATTGAAAACGGAATAGGAGAGTCAGGGGCTCTATATCTTAGGGGACCGGAGTCATCATGAGCCCTTGATAAAATTAAGAATAGGTCCCCATAAACAAGAGTTCACCTTTTTAGTAGACACTGGGGCTGAAAAATCAACTATTAAGCAAATACCTGAGGGATGTAAAGTTTCCCCTGAAAAAGTACAAGTAATTGGGGAAAAAGGAGAACCCTTTAAAGTAAGCAAAATCAAAAATGTGGTATTCGAAACTGAAAATAAATTTGGAATGGGTGAACTCTTGCTCGTCCCTGAAGCAGAATTTAATCTGTTAGGACGAGATTTAATTGTTGAATTGCAATTAGAAATTAAAGTGAAAAATCAAGAGCTGACAGTGTCTGCTTATCCTTTGACCGTGGATGATCAAAAACAAATTAACCCCGATGTCTGGTACTCTCCGGACACAATTAGTAGATTGGAAATTCCACCGATTAAAATCCAAATTTCCGAACCCCACATACCTGTGAGGGTAAGGCAATACCCCATATCCCTAGAAGGACGGAGAGGATTAAGGCCAGAAATTGATCGATTGTTAGCACAAGGAATCTTAGAGCCTTGTATGTCACCCTTTAACACCCCCATTTTGCCTGTAAAGAAACCAAATGGGAAATATCGGCTCGTACATGATTTAAGGGAAATAAACAAAAGAACTATCACCCGGTTCCCTGTAGTAGCAAATCCATACACGCTGCTAAGCAAACTAGGACCCCATAACTCCTGGTATAGTGTGGCTGATTTAAAGGATGCCTTTTGGGCCTGTCCACTGGCAGAAGAATGCCGTGATTATTTTGCCTTTGAATGGGAAGACATAGAGACAGGCCTTAGACAGCAATTGAGATGGACCGTGCTTCCCCAAGGGTTTACTGAGTCCCCTAATCTGTTTGGACAGGCCCTGGAAGAGCTCTTAAAAGAATACCAGGTACAAACGGGGAACGTGCTGTTACAGTATGTAGATGATCTGCTCATAGCAGGGAATAATAAGGAGGATGTAAGAAAAGAAAGCATTCGACTTCTAAACTTTCTTGCACAAAAGGGCCTACGGGTATCACAAGAAAAGTTACAATTTGTGGAGGAAAAAGTGAAATATTTGGGACATTGTTTGTTTAACGGCCAGAAGATATTGGATCCAGAGCGCATTAAAGGAATTTTGGAATTACCTATGCCTGTCACTAAGAGGCAAATTCGGCAGGCATTAGGGCTATTTGGGTATTGTAGGCAATGGATAGAAAACTATAGCTTTAAAGTTAAATTCTTATATGAACAACTGTCTAAAGACAAAATACCCAAGTGGACCCCTCAGGATCAAGAGCAGTTTGTCAGTCTCAAAAGAGAGCTAAGTCAAGCACCGGTTTTAAGCCTACCAGATTTAAAGCGGCCATTCCATTTATTTGTTAACATACATGAAGGAACGGCATTCGGAGTATTAACTCAGGAATGGGCCGGACAGAAGAAACCGGTGGCATACCTATCAAAGTTATTGGACCCTGTGAGCAGGGGTTGGCCGAGTTGTTTACAAATCATTGTTGCTGCTGCCTTATTACTTGAGGAAACAAATCGCATTACCTTTAATGGAGAGGTTGTCTTATATGCGCCTCATAACATCCGGGGAGTGTTGCAACAAAAAGCAGAAAAATGGCTTACAGATAGCCGATTATTAAAATATGAGGGAATACTTATAGAATCCCCTAAACTATCTTTGAAAACTATTGGAGCAGTTAACCCCGCTGAATTTTTGTACCCAGGAGAAGGTAATGAATTATTGCACAATTGTTTTCAAACAATTGAACAACAGACACGCATTAGGCCAGACTTAGAAGAAGAAGAACTACAATGTGGAGAAGTTTTATTTATAGACGGGTCATCACGAATAGTGGAAGGTAAACGATTGTCTGGATATGCCATCGTTAAGTTGGAAAACGGGGAATTTAGGACAATAGAATCAGGCCCCCTGAGTGCTAGCTGGTTGGCTCAAGCCTGTGAGCTGTATGCATTGTGGAAAGCATTAGTGTCACTAAAGGGAAAGGATGGAACTATATATACAGACTCACGCTATGCGCTCGGAGTAGTGCACACTTTTGGAAAAATATGGGAGGAAAGAGGATTTGCTAACTCACAGGGAAAAGAACTAATACACCCGGAATTAATTCGGCGAGTTCTGGGGGCATTGAAAATGCCGAATAAAATAGCAGTTGTACATATAAAGGGACACCAGCGAGGTACAAGTTATCAAGTTAGGGGAAATAATGCAGCTGATACAGAAGCAAAACGAGTGGCAGGCAATTATAGTATGATTTTGACTATGCAACAAGTACCTGTTAATAAGAATTTGAGTTTTGAGTCTGCAGAAAAGGAAAAACTAGAACAAATGGGAGCTAAGGAACAAGATGGGAAGTACATATTGCCAGATGGGAGAGAAGTCTTGCCGAAAGGCATAGCACTCGAAATATTTTCAAAAATACACAGTAAAACACACTGGGGAACCCAGGCGTTAGTTGATCATTTCAATCAACAGTTTGCCTGTATAGGCGTATATAATATAGCAAAGACAGTCACGGCAGCCTGCGAGACCTGTCAAAAGGTTAATCGAAACAGCATGAGACAAAGACCTCTTGGAGGACGTTCCCCAGCATACAGACCTTTCGCACACATACAAGTAGATTTTACTGAACTACCTAGGGTAGGGCATTATAAATATTTATTAGTTATGGTGGATCATTTAACACATTATGTTGAGGCTTTTCCTACCTCCAGGGCAACTGCTAACCAAGTTACTAAAGTGTTACTTGAACACATTATACCTCGATATGGAGTACCTGAAGTAATCGACTCGGACAGAGGAACACACTTTGTGTCAAAAATTGTTAGAGATCTAACAGAAAGCTTGGGTATTAAGTGGGAATACCATACACCATGGCATCCACAAAGTTCAGGAAAAGTTGAAAGGATGAATGGAGAAATCAAAACTATTTTGACTAAATTAATGATAGAAACCAAATTATCATGGATTAAGTGCCTATCCATGGCACTATTAATTCTCAGAACCAGACCCCGAGCAGATGTAGGAATATCAGCGTTTGAAATGGTGTATGGAATGTCTTATAGAATTGAAAGTTCACAAACAAATGTTTTAATTCGAGATCGTGTGATTAATGAATATGTTTCACAATTAGCAGAACATCGTAACAAGCTTTGGGAACATGGACTGATTGTGCAACGACCCCCGTTGGACTTAAAAAGTCACAATGTTAAACCTGGGGATTGGATATTGATTAAAGTGTGGAAGGAAGAAACCCTAAAACCCAATTGGGAGGGACCTTATCTTGTTTTGCTTACAACAGAAACAGCTGTCCGGACTGCTGAGCGTGGATGGACTCATGCCAGTCGCATTAAAGGCCCAGTGACGAGACCCCACTGGAAAGTAATCAGTACTCCAGGTGACACCAAGATAACTCTGAAAAGATAACATAATGATAGAGACTTTATTTGATTATTTTGCCGCATTACCTTTTGGTATAAAGTGTGTATTGCTGTTTATATTTGCTATAATTATTTCTCTTTTTTTCTATTATATATGGAAGCGTACAAAGTGTGTTGAAGGAAATTGCTAAACTTATGCAACCACACAATAGTGAATATAGAAGATATGCTGATGTAAATAATATATGTACTCTAGATATACAAATTACGTGTAATAATTTGAACTGCAATTGTTATCCATTTGCTTGTTTTAGGTGTAAGGTATGCCAGGATAAATGGTGGACACACTGTGAATATGGATACCCTCCGATAGGAGCTTGCACACGGTATTGGAAAATCCAAAGAACTCTCACTGAGTGGAAATTAAAACAATTAGAGTCTAAACAAGAAATTATTCGGGAATTCCATGAGTGGTGGAAGATTTTTTTGCCAAAGGAGTAAACCCTCAATATTATTGTTACCACTCCAACGAACCAGTCCCCTTTGTAACTGAAATTTTGGTTATAAAGTGTAGAAGGGAAGTACTAACCGTGCCTTGCTTTGCCCCCCCATTAGTTAAAGCTGCAAAGTGGGAAGCCTATGTAAATAGGCAGAAAGCCCGAAACAGCTACTCTCCTGAAGAATTCCCTTGCTGCCAAGAAGATGGTACACCCCGTGGCTCGAAGCAACCGAGTCGACGGGCGAGGCAGAGGAGGAACAAACTGTGGAGAAAAGAACCAGAGCAATGGGATGCAAAAGCAGCAATGGCCGAACTTCCCCAGGACTGGTAAAAATATACTTAAACTGGCAAAATTGACAGACACCCTTTTTCCTGGTATGCCGTTAGTTTTGTTATTGATAATAACCCAAGCAAATGGAAACCCTCATGAACCTATGGCCTGGAAATTATATAATTTACCAGAGTCAAAATTAATTCAAACTCAGATCGGTCCAGGGAAGTGGAATTTCTCCGTGCATCTATATTCCCTGATACCTATAGAACAGGACTCCCCTGTTTTTACCCCGGATCTAGCAAAGCTTCAGGCCCAATGCAAGGCATTTTATATATGTCCAGCAAGTAACCCTGGCAGAAGTTATTGTAATTATCCAGGTCATTTTTACTGTGGCTATTGGGGTTGTGAAACTATTGCTTCAAATTGGAAAACGCGGGGAGATAAATATATAGATGTAACTTGGGGACCCCCGGGCTGCACTCCCCCAAAGCATGATTTTGATGGACACCCTAGAAGACCCTGTGGCAGCGTGTCCGTGTCCTGTACCAGAACTGAAATCATTATAAAAGAACCCCAAGATGACACATGGTTAGTTGGCCGTATCTGGGGAATTAGATATTGGGAATCAGGAGCGGATAGGGGAAGTTGCTTTAGAATAATTAAAGAAAAGCTTCCTCATGATCCTTTACCAGTAGGACCAAATCTGGTCCTGAATCCACCCACTTTCTCTGAAGAAAAGGTTGCCCCCGCAAGTGTCGCACCCACTTCTCCAGACTCCCTTTTGAAAACAACTAATGGTATTGTATCCAGGGATCTAGAGTTGTCAGAATCCAAAGACCCCTTATGGAATCTAATGCAAGCCTCTTATCGTGCCCTTAATGAAAGCAAACCAAATTTAACTGAGGAATGTTGGTTATGTTATAATGTTAGGCCACCATATTTTGAGGCAATTGGAAAACCAGGTAGGATTCAATGGTCTAATGGTTCAAACCCACGAGAATGCCCATGGAATGACCAGAGGAACCATATGCAAGGAATTACTATTCAATTAGTAACAGGTCAAGGAAAATGTATAGGTACAGTGCCCAAAAAGTATCAACCTTTGTGCAACCGAGCAGTCACTATAGAAAAACACACTATAGAGAAACACAAGAATAAAAATGACAAATGGGCTATCCCGACACCAGGAGCTAAATGGGTTTGTTCAGACATCGGAGTAACGCCTTGCCTATCCCTAAAAGTGTTTAATCAATCTCAGTTTTGCGTACAGGTGATTATTGTTCCTCGTCTGATCTATCACACCTCTGAGGAGGTGTTACACCGTTTTGAAGGAGACCTGAATAGACAAAAACGAGAGCCAATTACAGTGGTAACCTTAGCTACACTGCTGATAGCAGGCGGAGTTGGAGCAGGCACAGGCATAGCCTCCCTAGTAAAAGGTCAGGAATTACAAAGTTTGCAGATGGCTGTAGATGAGGATTTAGCAAAAATAGAACAATCTATCCAAAATTTAGCCACTTCAGTAAAGTCTTTATCAGAAGTAGTACTGCAAAATAGAAGGGGATTAGATCTATTGTTCTTAAAGGAGGGAGGGTTATGTGTAGCTCTCAATGAAGAATGTTGTTCTTTTGCTGACCATACGGGAGTAGTCCAAGACACCATGTCTGAACTCCGGAAAAGGTTAGATCAACGTAAGAAAGATCGTGAGGCGGGCAGGTCATGGTATGAAACCTGGTTTAATGTTTCACCTTGGCTAACCACTTTGTTGTCTGCTTTAGCAGGACCGCTTATTATGTTGATCTTGGGACTTATAGTTGGGCCTTATATATGACGCTATATTTTACACTTTATTAGAGAACGGTTTGACATAGCTAAACTGCTTATTTTAACCACGAGGTCTGGAGCAAAATATAAGGGCGTATCTATTAATGAAGATGAAGATAATGAGAATGAAGATTATTGTGAATGTGTTATGCCACGTAAAAACTATGTTTGTAATTGCGAGATATTGCATTGTAAGTGTTATGATAAATGTTGGGAGTGTAGAAAAAGGATTGCTTGCAGTACCGAGAATGAAAGTAGCGTCTAATAAACAATAATAGGATAAAAAGAAAAAGGGGGGATTGTAAGAAACTAAGGATAAGGGTATTGCTTATTAAGATTTATGTTAAGCCCAATGTAAAGGATAGACAACAAAAGATATGAAATCGCTTACTCAAACAGTCACCGGACACAGCTTGTGCAAGATAAGATAACCGCAATCCCTTACACAAACTAAACCAAGTACCCTTATACAAACATAGCAGATGTTGACTAAAGATAACTGTAAGATGTTTCAGGAACTGGCAGAAATAAGACAAAACAACTCCATATAAGGACATATGGGTAAAAGGTCAACTATAGGATAAAGGAGGAAGACTTCTTACTTCAGCCTCAACGATCACCAGGAGACAGAAGTGACCCCCTAGCAACAGCTGAAGCATGCGCAGAGTACCTCCACTACTTCATGAGCACGGAAGTAAAGATGTATAAAAAGGGGCTGTTTGAACTGCTCAGCACGGCAGTTGGCGGAGCGCAGACTCCCCTGTCGTCCAGCGCTGTTTTTGCTCATATCCTACTTGCTATAATTAATAAAATTTTAATTGGATTATGATCTGTTATGGTCTCAATTTATAACATCCTTATAAGGTTTTCCAAGAATTTAGTATGCATAAAAATTTTATGCATTCTTATTTGTTTTTCAATTTGTGCTTCTTTTTGACCTTTTTTTTTTGTTTGTTTCTTTTGTTTTTCTTTTCCTTGGTGGCCAGGAGCTCCCCCATCTGTAACAAATTCTTTTCCCTCTGAATTAACGCCGAATAAATTGCTCCTGTATCCACTAAAATTCCACTTTATTTCCTCTGGTCTCTAGTTTTAATTTAACCAGTGGATCTACTAGGGCAGATTCCCCAGGTCCCTTGCCAGTCTAGTTTCAATTCAGCCACCGGAGTCACTCCATGGCACTCTCCCCCCAGGGCAGTGGCAGTCTCACTTCCAACGTCCAAAACTCTCCACAGCACACACACACCGATCCGGTCCCGTAGGAGAAGAACCCACTTCCCCCACCTTTGTCCGACATTCCTCCTTCACCAGTTTCAAAACATTCAACAACCCCTCAGTCCCGTCTATCAACATGTCTGTTCCCACTTGTTTGCCTGCCCCAGCACCCATCCCGTGCTCAAACACAGGAGCTGCTCGAGCTCCCCTCCTTTCCCAGTTTTCCCTTTTTTTTTTTCTTCTCACAGCTGCTCACCCTGCTCTGCAGGGGTTACAGATGTCTGCCTCTGCAACAGCACTTCTGGGTTAATGTGAATGTGTTGCGTGCTGCCAGTGACAGAATCTCTTCCTCCTTATCAGTATCTTATAGGACAGATATAAAGGATGCTCCTCTCAGAGGTAACTGTGATATATAATTTTTCCAATATCACAGGCTGAACAACATCTCTCCTGCTTAGCTTTCTGGTTTTCTCTGTCCTTTTTCAAAGCCAAAATTAGGGATCTGGCAGAGCTATATTAATTTCACATTCTGTCTGCCACTCCGGGTGGTTTCTTAAAGTGAAAAACCTATCTGTATATAGTACTTCATCCCATTTTCCTGGCCACCTCAAAATCAACATTAGTTGTAACAATGTATTATAATTCAAAGTTCCATTTTTAGGCCATTTCTCCTGATCACAGAATTGTAGAATTAACCAGGTTGGAAAGGACCTTTAAGATCAAGTCCAACCATTACCCCATTACTGCCAAAACCACCACTAAGCCATGTCATTAAAGGCCTCATCTCAATGTTTTTTGAACACTTCCAGGGACACTGATTCCACCACTTCCCTGGGCCACCTGTTCCAATCCTTGATCACCTTCTGGTGAAGAAATTTTTCCTAATACCCAGACTAAGCCTCCCCATGCCCAGCTGGAGACATGTCATTATGAGATTAAAATGTGGTGGTTTTGTTTGGTTTTTTTTTTTTTTGGTTGTTTTTTTTAATATCTCTCCTACAATTCAACCATTTTCATTGCTTTATATAATTAAATTCACTAAGAGTTACCAGACAATGGGAGCTGTAGCCCCATTTTCTGGTCTGACAAATTTAAAATAAATAAATTATACATGTACACACTGCCATAAAGGATCCTCTGCCTTAGGCATCAAACATCCTTAAAGAACTGCTATCAAACCCTAACACATGACAGACAGAAGGAGGAATCCAAGTCAGGGAAAATTCCATATCAAATTGGAATAATGCTTAGCAGTCTCCAGAACAATCCAAGTCTGGAAAGGCAAATCAAACACATATAGATGATGACCATGGGAAAGAGTCATTTCATTGACACACTGTTCTCTTTCCATATCATTCCTGAATGTCTTATGGGTTTTTTACGGATATAATAAATAGGGGGCTAATACCTGTCCTCTGGTAATCAACTTCAGAAACTTCACCCCAAAATCCCAATTAATACTTTCCCCAATCTCATAAACAATCACAAGCTTGGCAATTAATTTTTCAAAAGTAAGCTTTTTACACTCACAACATTTTTACAGATAGGAACATCACAGTCTTCATAAAAAAAATATACCTGCACACAAGACTTGATATTCCATACGTATGCAAATACTCAACTTTATCCAGAAGTTTCCTATCAAATTTTACAAATTAAAAATAACAGGGATGTACATGCAAAATTACAGGAGTGGAGAATTTTAACTTTTAAGTTGGCAACAGTCTAACTAAAAACAGACATTGGTTACAATATTTTATCAACGTTTTCTTGTTTACCGAGCCCCCAGAAGACCCTCCCAGTTCTTTCCAATGTGCCAAAATGTAACCCAATGGGCTTTTCTTCAGAATTCCCTTATTTTGACCGGCTCCCATTTCAAACAATCTTTTACAAATCTATAGCTTCTCTTTCCTAGTGCTCTGCAAATGCACTTAAAATATGAGAGTACCTACACACAAGTTTTATGATATTCTCAGGGGTTCAGTAAAATAATATCTCTGGGTTCTGCAGATCAGTTCCCCTGTTGTTAGATCATAGTTTCAGTTCCAGCAAAATTTACACTGTCCTAGTATCCACGGCAGATTCCACTGTTCAAAAGTTACTATGCACCCATATGTGAGGCTACAAGCCTCTGGT